ATTTAGCATATTTTTCCTCTTACTATTACTTAAATTTGTCATATACAGCTGTATTACGAAAAAAAAATTTATACTGTATATTATAATAAAAATAGATATGTAAATATTATATATTTTTAAAAATAAAGTTATACTTACAGTACACTATCATTGATGCATTTGCCGTTCGTTCATCTTCGAATGTAGATATAACACATGTGTACTCGCCAGTAAGATCGATGCCTGGTTTATTCAATTTCATAGCTCGGTACTCAGTATATGGGTCATCGCTGGCTTTGTATGTCAATCGACATATTTCGCAGCCGGTTTCAACTGCTAATGGGTGTCTACCATAGATCCACTGGTAAACTACTCGGTTGGTATTGAAGAACCATTTGATGACGAGGCCCTTGCTCGATGTATTCTCGAGATCGTAATCGCAGTCGAGAATAATGTAATCATTACTGACTTTTATAATGTCTGGTACGTTGATGCTCTTAATAATCAGTTGCCAAGATTCTGTAAATATATAAAAACGTGATAAATTTTAAACTTTATTTATCATAAACCATATCAAAAAAATAAAAGTCTTAACGTATTTTCAAAAATATTGAAACATTATTTTAAATTAATCGCAAAATTGATGAAATTTATATATATATATATATATGTAATCTGGCAAAAAATAATCGATAGAACGATATTTCTTCAAGAATGTTAAAACTTGATGTTTCAACTTTTAAATTTTAAGTAGCTCAGTCAATAAAGGAAAAATAATAAAAATAATTTCAAAAGTTTTGAAAATAGAGATATTTGTTTAGGCTTAATAATGAATGTCCAAAAAGTTCTGAAAAATTGAAGGTAAGCTATCGTCATCTTAAAAATACATTTTTTTGCATACAATTTTTTGCACATATCTCGTAAAATATTAATTTATTGAAAAAATAGTTATTATCGAAATGATAGAGCATTAAATTATCTACAAAAAAGATATTCATTCTTTTTGAAACTTTAATAGTTTTCGAGAAAATGGGCCGCGAATGTTATGTAAGTTGTTCCAAACACTTTCTATATTATAGGCAGCCAATGTAAATAGTGCCAAGTAAAGTGTATTGTTTTAAATGTATACTTTTTTCATTTGCACAACAGTTTACAATAACTGTCATGGAAATTTTTTAAATAGTAGCATAGTTATCGATTAAGTAAAGTAGAGGATGAAATAGAAGATGTAGATGAAGAATCGGAGACAAACTCAAGAGCATCATCCTGTACAAAGGAATTCGAAATTGTTTCCAATGGAAGCATTTTCCAATTGCAAATAAGGACATTCCTTGTATGTGCTAACAAAAAACTACGTCTATAATAAAAAGTGAGTCTCAAAAAATGTATTAAAATTAAATTCTTTTTTTAGTTAATGTATTTACAATAAACATTTTTATTTTGTACAGATAATATAAACAATAAGAACAAACATTCCCAAGAATCGATTCACGCAACATTCGCGCCCCATTTTCTCGAAAATTATTAAAGTTTAAAAAAATAAATATCTTATTTATAGAAAATTTAATGCTCTATCATTTCGATAATAACTATTTTTTCAATAAAGTTAATATTTTACGAGTATGTGCAAAAAACTGAAAAAATGTCATTAATTTTTAAGATGACAACAGCTTATCTTCCATTTTCAGGACTTTTTGGACGTTCATTAATAAGCATAAACAAACATCTCTACCATTTTCAAAACTTTTGGAATTATTTTTGTTATTTACTTAAAATGGGTCATTGACTGGACTAAAGCCTTTTCTTCGATAATGATTCTTATGTAAATGACACTATTTCTAACTCAATCGTGAAAAATTGATGGAAACTTTAACTTTAAAATTATGTATATTGAAGAAAAAATGTTATTATAACTTTGATTTAAATGATTTGAAAGTATGAAGTTTCTTCTTTTTATAATTAAGTTATGTCTTTTTAGAAATTAAGTTGTGTTTTTTGTCGCTAATTGTATAATTTGTTATCGTAAATTGAATTAATTAATGCATTGTGGAAGTTTTCGATTTTCACGATTGACTTGGAAATAGAGCATCTGCATAAGAATTGTCGTTGAACTTAAAATAATATTTAAAAGTTGAGACATCATGCTTCTAAAGTGTTTCGAGGAACAACGTTATATAATTATTTTTTCGCAACTTTACACATATTTATATTGCATTGATTTTTCAATGATTCGAATAAATAATGCTTTAATTTTTAGACGAATGTATATATTTCCTAAAATTAATAATTTCTGAAATATTTAGCCTTTTTTATTCTATTTTTTACATTATAAATCTTATTCAAAGTTCGATAGGGATAATGTTATTTTAGGAATTTCTCAATTAAATAAATCTGTTAGATATATTTTTTATTAATAATAAAAAAAAGAATGTCGCAAAATACAATACACTACGATCAATAATTTTTCAGATGTCTCAAAATTTTAATGTTTTTTTTTGAAAAAATATATTAAGGTTTTAAAATTTTTGACAAGAGATTATTTTTACAGAAATTTTTTATTAAAATTTCTAATATAATAAATCTAATTTGTATTTAGTCAGAAATGGATTTGAGTTAGATCTGACTGGTTTCTAATGTTTAATTTTTGTAAGTGTGAATTTTTTAACTGCATATCGATGATCAATAGTGCATATTATGCAAATAAACATTTTTAAAATAGCAAAAATAGCTTGATTAATAAATAATATTAATGTAAAGAAGTTTATATTATATAGATTGTCTGCCCGGATAATTTTTTTTTTAAATTATTTTTATTAATTATTGCGAAGATTACAAAATAATACTAGAATCTTTTTACTTGTTTTAACTCGCTCTATCGATACATAAGGTGGCATGATTATTATAGGACTCTGTATATTTTGTAATTTGCATTCTTAAACTCATTCACAAAACCCTTGTGATATCTTACGATTAGTGAGACTGATGTGATATTAATGTTTGCGATGACTTAATGAGAATGTGTGATACACTGTTCTAGTGATCCTAAATTGACGTCCTAACAATATGTCGTATACTAAATGTAATAATTTATCATTGCAAAATTATTTATTTTATTGTTCCTAGTATAAAGATAATGCTTATTTTATGAACAGGAAAATTTCTCTCAATTTTGATAAAATCTTTAACACATTTGATATAAAGGATACTTTTGTGATTTGAATAGTACCAGCATACAAAGTTTATATCATAATTGAATTTCATTGAGTAATATAAATAAGAGGAATCGAGTTGTGTTCTTCGAAAATTTTACATCTTTTTATCATTGAATAAGAGACATCAATATTAGAAAATATGATAATTAAACAGTTTTTTATTTTATAGAATTTATTACCTATTATTTGTTTATATTTGAAATAATAAGCAAATAATAAAGTTAAATTAAAATATTTTTATTTGTGCGTCGACAATGTATTTTTGATGAATATATATATATATATATATATACCGAGTGTCCGGTGACTCGCGTTTTACACGTTAATGGGAGATTCCTGATGCGATTTGGAGATAATTTTTCCTTAGCGAAAATGATGAAAAAAGTCATCATTTTTTTAATGTTTCTAATTTTTGAATCATGTATCTATGTAATTAAGCCTTAAATTAAAATTCTATTAGAGTAAACTTTACCTGAAATTAATTAAAAAATGTAGTTTTGTTAATAATTTATTTTTACAAGGCTTAGTTTACAAAAAAGCTCTTATTTTCAATCATTTATAACTCAAAAATTATTGGTGCTTGGACATTTTCGCTGAGGAAAAATCATCTTCAAATTACCTTAGAAATTTCTCATTAACATGTTAAACGCGAGTTACCGGACACTTTGTATATATGTATATTTACATTTCTATTGAGCTAAGTATTTTCTCATGTCCTAGCAAACAATTCTGTGGTCTAAATTTTGCTTGAGCTATGTATGCATGTAGTTTATATATTCATGTCATGAAGTTTATATATTAATTGTTCGAGGCACGACTTGTATGTGGCACTGTCCACTGAAGCATATACTCTTACTCCTGTGATGAGATGCTGAAAGTTAAGTCGCATAACACTAAAATGTTTGTGACGATATTCATAACTCGAGATAGTGTATTCGCTACGTTCATGCTCATGATAAGATTTACCTTGTAATTTGAAACAATGCTTTAAGTTTTAGACGATTTATAATTTATAGAATTGTGAACAAAATATGTAATACGCACACACAATATATATTATGTGTTGTACATCACAAACATCTCAAAAATAAGACATTATAGAAAAAAATGTGTCAAACAAAATTTATATGGTTTGAGAGGAAAAAAGTTGATTAGTTTAAATTTTAATTAAAGTCACTTTTTAAGATTATTTGAAGATTACATTAGTTTTTTTAAATATAAATAAATCATTTATATATATTGTATTAATAAAATTAATAAATTTTATTAATAACTAAAATAAGATTAGAATTATATTAAATTATTTTTAAAATTATATTTAAGAATTATATAATTATATTAATTATATTATTATATTAATTTATTTAATTAATTAATTAATTAAATTAATTATTTCTAATTTTAATATTTTTGTAATTATAATTTCAATTCTATACAAATAAAATTCAAAATTTATTTTTAGATTAGTTATACTTTTACTGATTATAAAATTACACTGCATATTTAACCTAATTCTTATACATATATAAATCAATTTTTTGCAAGATTCCTCGCATTAAAAAATTATAAAGATAGAATAGCTAAAAAATGAATAGCTATGAAATATTTTGTATTTTAATTTATAAATAAATTTACATAAACTGTGAAATATCGCGTACAATAACTTTTTTTCGATGATCTTATCTCAATACTTTTATGCGCAATATAATAAAAGAAATTAATTGGTAAAAAAACACGTAATGGTTTTTAAAAGTATGTAATTTACAATTAGAAATTTTAAAGTGCTTTCTTGCAGTTTCAGTAATGTGTCATTTTGTACTGACAATGAGCAAAATGACTTTTTTAAATAAAACAGTAATAATAAGTAATAAAATATTAAATAGTAAATACATTTGTAATTTTAATTAATAAACGCAATTCTTTACGCAATTTCAAATAACACCGGTGTGATGTTATGTTAACCTCGGTTTAATTGATGGTATGTTTATAAAATTTATACTTATTTTATTAATTTAACACTTAAATGAGTTTCGTATGTTAAAAAATATTGTGTAACATTATGTTGTAGAAATTTCACTTGAAAAGGACCACAACCAAATGGTCGAAACGTCGTGAAATAATCAAATAAAATTGCTAGTTACGTCGTAGTCAAGTCGTTTAAGCTTATTATCAATTTACATTTTGGTCCATAGTTATATGTAAATTGATGGGTAATTCGCGTTAGTAACGAATTTCTATGGATTTCTAATTGTTCTAATATTTTATACTTATAATTTGAAAATCACAATAGACGGTTAAAACTCATCAATTTACATTTTTATTCCATAGTTATATGTAAATTGATGGGTAATTCGCGTTAGTAACGAATTTCTATTTTTTTTTTAATATTTTATATCTATCATTCTCTAACCTGTATGTTTCCTAACGAATGATTCGGAACGGAGCACCCTTGTTAATTATGCTTTTTATGACAGAAATGTTACTTAAAAGTGGGTTGCTATTCCCATTGTCATTCGTGAGAAAACATGTTTTAACTTATGAGCAATTATATGTGAGATTAAATATTTGTTAATACCGGTCTTTCATGTAGGTTAGCTACCGGATTTCATCAAATTTCTATGTCACCTAAAGACGCTCACAAAACAGCATTTTCTACGCCATATGGGCATTATCAATTCAAGCGCATGCCATTCGGTTTAAAAAACGCACCTGCTACTTTCCAAAGACTTATGGATAATGTATTATCGGGACTACAAGGAAACGAATTATTCGTCTATATGGACGACATTGTCATTTACGCACGATCATTAAGAGAACACGAAATCAAATATGAGAGATTAATGCAAAGATTACGAGACGCGAATTTACAATTACAGCCAGATAAGTGCGAATTTCTAAGGCACGAAGTAGCTTATTTAGGCCATATAATAGGCGCAAACGGAGTCAAACCAGACCAGGACAAAATAAAATCAATAATGCACTTTCCAACCCCAAAAAATCCGAAAAACATAAAACAATTCCTTGGTTTAGCCGGATATTACCGAAGATTTATACCTAACTTTTCTAAAGTCGCAAAACCATTAACAGATTTATTAAAAAAGGATAGCATATTCAATTGGCAATTAAAACAAGTAGAAGCTTTTAACTCTTTGAAACATTCGTTATGTTCAAATCCCATTCTCCAATATCCCGATTTTACTAGACCTTTCATACTAACTACCAACGCATCAGGGTATGCCATAGGCGGAATTTTAAGTCAGGGACCGGTAGGAAAAGATCTTCCTGTCTCATACACTTCTCGAATTTTAAACACTGCGGAACAAAATTATTCCACGATCGAAAAGGAATGCCTAGCCATCATATATTGTATTAGCTATTTCAGACCCTACTTATACGGAAGACTTTTTACTATAATAACAGATCACAAACCTTTAATTTGAATACATTCTATAAAAGACCCAACTTCCAGACTCTGAAAGTGGAAAACTAAACTAGCAAAATACAATTACGAAATTAAATACAAAAAGGGATCACTAAATAACAACGCCGATGCTTTATCGCAAAATCCACCCACTGATTTAGTTCTACCAATATTTGCTTCAGACAATGACGAATCATCCGACGAATCCATATTTTCAAGCAGACCAGGACCTTCCGTCAGATCAATTGAAACAAATGCTTTAATCCCTTACCGCAGTAACAATATTGATAATCCTAATTATGTTAATATAACCGAAAACGATTCCGATTCAGATGACGAAAGTTCAATTCCTAATAACGATAATCACGACTATGCAAATATGTCAAATACAAATTTAAAATATGACTACGTAGACCCAGCAGTTCCTGAAACTATACCTATTATACAACCCTCTCCCGTAATTCCGAGTAAAGTAAGAATACGCGAAATAAGAGACAACTTATTAAACCAAAAGGATAATCATGTAATTTTTATAAGTCTAGACGGATCACCCTACGACAAGGGAGCCGAACTTTATTCCACTGCAAATCTTTTACCCACATACAAAAATCTCAATTTTGAAACAGTTAACGTAAAGAAAATCAAATTAAATAATTTAATATCAATCCCGATAAGAACAAACAATCGACTGTCTATAGAACCGCGAACTGTGAAAAATTGTATACGCTCTTTATTAGACTGTGTTAACGAATTACAACTAACTTCCTTTAGCATTAGTAAAACGCATAAATTCGATGACATTCCCTGGTCTTATATTGTTAACCAGTTAAAAAGATTTTTCCACGACACCCGCGTAAATATAACTATTTGCCAGAATCTAGTTGACAATCCTATCCCTACGGAACGTGTAAAATTAATTTCAGAAAACCATGCTTCAGCATACGGTGGCCATAAAGAAGTTACGAAAACATTTAATAGACTTCGACCTTATTACTTTTGGAGTACGATGAAACAAGATATTCAAGAATTTATTAGAAAATGTCGCGAATGTCAGTTAAAGAAATTAACGCGCGTCAAAACCAAACAACCAATGATTATTACGGATACCCCCGGGACAGCTTTCGACAAAGTTTCACTAGACATAGTAGGGCCATTCCCTATCACGAATAACGGAAATAAATATATTTTAACCATGCAAGATTTATTAACAAAATACTCCATAGCTGTACCATTAAAAAAAGCCACTTCATTAACGATAGCCGACGCTTTTACAAAAGAATTTATTTGCATTTACGAAACCCCCAAGGCTATCCTTACCGATCAAGGTACTGAATTTCTATCAACTTTAATGCGCATCCTAACAAAGAAATTCAATATCCAGCATTTTAAAACCACTGCTTACCATCCTCAATTAAATGGATCTATAGAACGGTCACATCATGTATTAGTAGAATATTTAAAAACACAAATCGATAAGGAAGATAATTGGGACGAATACATCAAACTCGCCATGTTCTCTTACAATACAAGCGTCCACGAAGGAACAAAATTTTCACCATACAAACTAATATTCGGACGACTAGCCAGATTGCCATCCGCGTATCAACCTATCGAAGAACCTCTAGAACCTACTTATCAAGAATATATAAATACTTTATTTAACAAATTATATGATATCCGCGAAGAAGCGCGACAAAATCTTATTAGAGCCAAAGAAAGAAGCAAATACTATTATGATCAACGTATAAATTCTCGACAGTTTAAGATAGGAGATTACGTTTTCTTACTAAAGGAACCGAAGAAAGGAAAATTTTTAGCACATTATGTAGGACCCTACGAAATAATAGAGATCCTAATTTCCAAAGAACGCCAAAATCCTAATCGACCATAAACCGCGGATTGTCCATATCGATAAGTTAAAATTAGCACATATAGAGCCAGGTTGAAAAACAGTATTTCTAATTTTGGGTTTCAGATGTGTTGGCATCGCCAACCAGTCCATCCAGGACAAACTACAAGCTCCTCGCTACATCAGATATTCGCATTCGCAAGCTGCGTAAAGGTATACGGATATCGTAATGTAGTCACTAATTCTGCACGTTGCACGAATTGTTATTCAAATCTCGATCTAGCCGCACGTTCCTTTTACCAAACACGGTATACTCACGCCGTTGTGATTGGGTTAGGTTATCCTGAACCACAGTGTTCTGTATGTTCCGAGCTCCTAACAATTTCCAAACCAATACGAAGTTGTATAATTTGCACTAATTATTTAATGAGCATAAATCAAGAACTATTCTTTTAACCACCTCTAGTTGTTTAAACTTTAAAAAAAAAATGTCTTCCAACAATCCATGCGATCACAACGCAACAGCCTCTAACACGTACTACGAACATCCTAATATTGTCGAACTCCACACCATGTTACAAAGGTTCCCTTTAATACAGAAAATGATAGAATTCTTTCCTAACATGCACAGAGCTAGATGCTACAAAAGCACAATTTATGATAACTATTGCCAAACCTGTCGCATCACGCGAAGAACCCGATCCGCACCTAATGACATCTGCAATTATCACGTTCTTGTTTGTGAAACCGCACCTTCTATTCCATGTCTCAACTGTCGCTATGCTTGTTATAAAATCGAACCCGTAACTAAATGCGAAGAATGTTTCTTCACCTACATTCAATATGTAGTAAACGTATGGAAAAGCAACCATACCATCAGACACTGGAACGGAAAGGTACCCACCATTAATCATTAACAGCCTACACTATAAAACAATACACTAATAATTATTATTATCTTACTAGATGTAAGGACGAATGACCAGCGCGTCATATAAAGATTATTCATGTATAATAATATATGTATTCCTGATTGCAGGTTTGCTATCAGCTCAGACGCCTATAAGATTATTAAAATCTCAACGCTAAAATTACAGGTATATTTTAGTAATACGATATATGTAAAAGTTCCCGTTTCAGGAAACCGTTCTAACTAAGCAGGTTGTTCAGCATGGAACCCTGTGCATTATTCAAAACCTTATTATTACTACTTCTAGCCATAATCTTTTATTTTTGTATGAGGTATGCTTTATATAAGTACATCTCATACAAAACTCCCAAAGTTGCATAAGACTCATATCCATGCAATATTCTAATTAAGACACTTTATATTACGACAGATTATCGTTAACTCGCTCACTGGTAATAACTCCGTTCCTCGCGAGAATTATCTATCGGTTTACTATTCCACCATTGTGAATAGCCTCGCGAAAACCTTAACGAACTTAACAATTATATATATATATATATATATATATATATATGTAACATACTAAACACTTATACTTACCTTAACTCAGAAAAATCGACTCCAACCTCACCAGTGAACGAGCTAATCGCCTCTTATCAAATAACAAAACTTTGAATAATTTCTACAATCTTCGCAAAAGACACGGGCAGAAAAAACTGCAACCGCGCAACCGATATACATAGATATACGACATAAATATAGTTTATAACATATACACCTATTCGTTAGTGTGCACTCGCACCCGTACTTATAAATTGTACAAATATATGTATACATATATATATATATATATACCTTCATTGACGACTTAATAATTTTTCCACTGTTCCATATATATATATACTGCAAAGCACGTATACGCATACGTACGACAAATATTTGTTTGGCTGGCGGAAAGGCGAGACAATTTTTGGATCCAATATGTATTTCGTGTACAACCTGTGACGGATTAAAAAATATGTAAATTAAAGTTATAATAATATTTTTATAATATAGCATATATATATGTGTATATATATATATATATATATATATATGTGTATGTTGTACAATTTGTTAATATATATAAGTATCTTTTGATGATTTATAATTAATTATTATACAATTTATATATATACCTAATAATTTGCGAGGTTATCATCTTTATCGTTATGAAAATATATATATATAGCGAGCGAATATTAAAGGAATGCCGAAAGATTTAAAACTCAAATACTTTTATATGCATATTTTCACAATCAACAATAACCTCGAATTTGTAGGCAGAATAGCTTTATGATAATAAATTATGAAAAATGTTAACTTAATATTGTATATATATTTAGATGAAATATTTTTTTCTGATTTAATGCAATGTTTAACACATATATATTTAATTAAGAAAAAAAGGATTACCTCGGATAAGAAAAATCACTTCATGTCGCCATATCACTCAGATTACCCATGTCGCACAGATCGGAAACGGAATTATATGTATGTATATAGCAATAATGGCGTTGCTATACTGTTAAAATAAATCCCGCGTAATTCAAAATACGTAATGTCAATATAATAGTTATGTAGACGTTATATTACATATTTTATAATATCTATGTAAATGTCATATAACATATTATATAACATCTATATAACTTCGATATAACATCTGTTATATAATGTATTATATTTATGTTATGTTGCTGTTACTTTATTGTAACGAGTAAATAACAAAAAAATGTTACAATTATATTACATAGTTATATTGTAGATATATAATGAGATACATAGCCTCAATGTAACTAAGATATAACATCTGTTATATCACAGGTTACTTTTATGTTATATTGCAGTTATATTTTGTGTTTGCTGGGAAATGATCATATATGTAATCCTTAACAACTTCTTTAAAGCATACTATTCCAATATATAACATAATTTGACGCCATTGAGTGGCTTTAAATTGATCATAGTCGTTAAGTGATTCAACGCGGCGTGCAAATTCTCGTGGACAGTGTTTTGAGAGAATCTTTAATCGATTTGAAATAATTTTAATTTGGATTCCCGATAATTTGACGTTTTTTGTACAATCCCCACGTATCCATGTCACGATTAATTTTTTCATAACTCCTAGGCAACACATATGCATATATTCAAATACAACATCTTTATCAAAAGGTAAATGAGATAATGGACTTGAACATTTATGATGTTCCTCATCAATTTGTTGTCTATACTCTTCATGTATACGTTGCCTATGCTTAATTCCTCTCAATACCGTACATCTTCCAATACTAAATCCGTTAATTGTACATTTTGAGCATGGATTAAAAGAACGGTGACTCTTATGTCCTAAAATAAATGCTCTAGCTGGTGCATCTCCGATAAAACATCGCAGTTTTATTGAGAACTTTTTATCTTTAAAAATGATACCACCTTCATTAAAAATTTTATGAAAATCTGAGTTACAATATTGGAAAAACTCTTCTGCACTCTTAGGTTTTTGTGAACCTTTATACACTCCTATAGTTTTTGGAATAGATTTTGGAATATTAACAATTCTGCATTGAATTGGCCAAATATTATGTTTTCCATTTCTATATAATTGTGCTCCATCCGTACTAATGTCAATTTCAAGAACTTCGGGAATTGATAAAAAATGTGTTTCTTCAAGAATTTGGGCTAAACATTTTTTTAGCCCAATATGTAAATATTCTCCTGGCTCAACTTTATATAAAATTGAGGAGTGCCGTGGCGTCAAAAGTAATGATCTAATATCTGCAGGTAAAAATGTAAAGCAATCATGAGTTCTTAGAAGTTTTAAAATACGATTGCCGAGAACATGATTTGCGTCAACTAGAACAGCTGCTAAATTCTTCTGAAATATTACCGTATTACAAGTATTTCTAACTTTAACCCCGTCTATATTGTCTGTATATAAATGAGAAGATTGTTCCTTTGTAGAAAGTTGCACAATTGAATTAAAATGAGTGTCTTGTACAAGATGATTTACGTTGCAGTCATTAAAATGTTGAACTTTATTTTTAGCATAGATATTTTCAGAACAATCATTCTCTATCAAAAGTGATTTTGTTTTTTTTATTATTTGTTTTCGACGAGCTAATCTTAATCTTTGTTGCCTTCTCGATACCATATGAAGAGGCTTATAGTAACGCGACTGGCCAGCTTCCAATTGAAAATTTTTCATTTTTATATTAAATCCAGATCTATTATACAAAACAGATATAAAATGACTTATTACATGTAATTATTACAATCTAGCCTTATTCAGCAAATATTTTAAAATTGTTTCTAAATTAATTATTTTAAATAATTGTTTTAAATTTTTATGCATTAAATTATACTGATTATACTGAATTAAAGCACATAAAGTAAAACATACATTATTATCATATTTCTTTGTTATAAAAATTTTAGAAGTGTTAGTAAAATTCATAAAATATATATAACAAAGGAATATAATAACGATATATGCTTTTGTTTTACCTTTCAAGTATATAGAATCTAAAAACTCACCTTTAAAAAAAGGTAAAAAAAGGCGACCAGTTAAGGACACGCCATTAACAAAAATTATTTATTGCAAACCCATGTAGAATCCTATCCTATTGCAAACTCATGTAGAATCCTATGAAAACTTAATCATTGCAAACCCATGTAGAATCCTAGGCAAAATTAACCATTGCAAACCCATGTAGAATCGTACCCATTGCAAACCTATGTGGAATCCTATGAAAAATTAACCATTGCAAACCCATGTAGAATCCTATGAAAAATTAACCATTGCAAACCCATGTAGAATTGTATTAAAAATTATCCATTGCAAACTTATGTAGAATCCTACATTGCAAACCCATGTACAATAGAATTGTATGAAAAATTATCGATTATAAACCCATGTACAATCGTAACAAAAGTAATGAAATAAAAAAAAAATTGCGACAAGTGAAAGTAGAAACTTGTACCAGTGGAAAATTAAAGTTGCAGACATATATATAGTCGTATAATGAATCAGTAAAAATTTAAATTTGCAAATGTAGAATCGTACTATAAAAAAACTTATCTTTTAAAAAAAAAAGATAAACAAGATGCCAAGTCCATTAATATAAAATAAAAAGAAATAAAAAAATTGTAGTTAAAAAAACTGGGCGCGCTGCTAAATAATATTCTAATGATATAAAAATTAAATTGTTATTTTTAAACTCATTGCAGTTAAAATATGTTTTGTGTTTAAATTAATTAATGTTACTTTAAGGTGCATTGTAATTTTGAAACTTAGCAGCGCGCCCAGTTTTTTTAACTACAATTTTTTTATTTCTTTTTATTTTATATTAATGGACTTGGCATCTTGTTTATCTTTTTTTTTAAAAGATAAGTTTTTTTATAGTACGATTCTACATTTGCAAATTTAAATTTTTACTGATTCATTATACGACTATATATATGTCTGCAACTTTAATTTTCCACTGGTACAAGTTTCTACTTTCACTTGTCGCAATTTTTTTTTATTTCATTACTTTTGTTACGATTGTACATGGGTTTATAATCGATAATTTTTCATACAATTCTATTGTACATGGGTTTGCAATGTAGGATTCTACATAAGTTTGCAATGGATAATTTTTAATACAATTCTACATGGGTTTGCAATGGTTAATTTTTCATAGGATTCTACATGGGTTTGCAATGGTTAATTTTTCATAGGATTCCACATAGGTTTGCAATGGGTACGATTCTACATGGGTTTGCAATGGTTAATTTTGCCTAGGATTCTACATGGGTTTGCAATGATTAAGTTTTCATAGGATTCTACATGAGTTTGCAATAGGATAGGATTCTACATGGGTTTGCAATAAATAATTTTTGTTAATGGCGTGTCCTTAACTGGTCGCCTTTTTTTACCTTTTTTTAAAGGTGAGTTTTTAGAGATTATATCATTCATTTTTGTATATGATATAATAACATTACCGCAATGCCATGACTCTGTGTATGTTTTACTGTTTAGACGTTTTGATGCTTTAATCAAAGATACTTGATTCTATATATATGTTTATACATAATTTAAGAAATATTTTCAATATCTTAAATCATTTCTTTCCTTATTTGCAAACATGTTTCAAATAATATTTGATATCATAGCTTTAAAAGATATGTATTAGAACACGTATTATCATATTAGCACAAATGCGTAATATCATATACGATAAATATAAAATATATTTTATTACTGCATATATTACTTTAATGCAGTTTACTT